GCGGATGGGTCGAGGGAGGCGGAAGTGCAGTGGGCCGCCGTCTCCGTCCCGGCTGCGGCCCCAGCCTGTTACATAACACGTTTGGGACTGCGAGTAGTCTCGCGTCTCAGCTCCGCGGGCCCCCAGGATGCACTGAACCCCACGGTGCCGCCCGTAGTCGCGGCCCGCTCCCGCCAGAGGTGAGGCATTGGGGGTGGTCCGTGGGCGGGAGGTGACACTGGAGCTGTACCCTGGCTGGGGCCTGCGAGAGGCTGGGCTCTGGACGGAGGACGTCCCTGCGGGGGGTTAGGGGGGCCGCCCGTGGCTCAGTTTCGGTAGCTGCGACCAGAGTTCAGAGAAGGCGGGCAAGCGTCGAGGTGGCGGCGCTGGCGGGAGTCGGCCCTTTTCTTGGGGCTGCTTTTGTGGTGGACCCCAAGGTGAGTTGTCCTAGAAATTGGAAATAAAAGAGCGGTTTGAGTAACATCCAGTGGCGTCGCTGGAGGTGAAAGATCTGGTCCGGTTGCTTCAGGCTCGCCTCTCCTGGCCCTCCCTTCTGTTTGGTACTTGTAGAGTCCAGTCAGGGTAGTTGTTCGCTGACTTGTTTGCCCTCGTCTAAGCTCAGGGCTCTGGCTTCCCACTGTCCGAGTCTTACTCTCTCCGGCATAGTTTCTGGTATTCAGACAAATGCAAGCTTTGCAGTCCCGTTAGCTATAGTCCAGCCGTGCTAACCCTCCAGAACCGATTTCAACTTCTTCCAAATTAAGCACTTGCTGAGGAGCAAGAAGGGAATCAGTAGCTTGTGTGATTTGACACGTTGGGAAAATGGGAGGGTGGGGTGGGTAACAAATATCGGTATGCCCAGCCCATGTCTGAGCCCAGGGCTTGGAGGATCGCACAAGGAGGTGCTCAGCAATAAATGTGAACTCTGCTTCTTTAATTTAATCTCTTTTCACTTGGCCAAGTCCTTGGGCCACGTGCTTTGGTGTCACTCTTGTCATTACTTGACCCTGTAAGAAAAGTCTTAACAGCCCAACAGTGAGCCCAACTCACTGAAAAAATGTTGCCAGTTGGGAAGGTTTTCTGTTTACCAAAACACTGAGGACATAAAACCCCTAGTTAATGCTTACCTGACCACGTAGGGCATTATGTGACTCCAAAGGTCTTCTGTGCTAACACAGCAGTCCAAGTAAAACTAAGACAGAGGAGTTTTAGGACTCCTGTGGTCAAATACTGGCTGACAGGGCAACAAGCGGGAGGTCTTTTATATCACTGAAAAAGGAGCAAATGATGTCAAATAGTTTTACACACTCATAAATACACACATATACACATATTAGTGAATTGTTTTAAGCTCAGGAGATGAGATTTAAAACTAGAAGAACCCCAGTGCTATTTTTCTGGACCAATCACAGCAATAAACCTAGTTTCATCATCTCCACACACACACCATAGGATTTTGTACCCATTAAAAATACTGTGCAAGATATAAGGCACTGGAGTGTGACAGGAGCCAAAGATTCCCTATCAGAGGAGCACTGAGCACAGGAATTAGACAAAATGAACAAGGCTCACAATCTTAAGCTGAAAAAATTTATGGACAAGAAGTTACTGACATTAAATGGTGGCAGACATGTCCAAGGAATATAGCAAGGATTTGGTCCCTTATGAATCTTGTGATAGATGAATGTGTGGAGATGGCAGCTAGTGAGCAACAGAACAATACTGAAATGGTGATGACGAGATAGTATGTTGGAAGGGCTGGAAAAAATTTAAATAATGACTTTAGTAGAAAAGTCCCTGCCCCCTTCAAAGAGCCAGGTTCACTGTGACTAAAAATTGGATCATACACATTTTCATACTGAATTTTTTAAGGTTTTTGTTTTGTTTTGTTTTGTGCAGGGTCTCACTACACAGCCCAGACTTGTAGTGATCCTCCTGATTTCTGTCTCCCTAGTGTGGGATCACAGGTGCGTGCCACCATGTCCAAACTCCATTGTTGGCTCAGCGCACCTGGTGCGGCAGTCAGAGCCAGGGAATGAACTCTGGCCCCTGCGGTTCCCTAAGCAAGCGCTTAGTCCACTGAGCTATACCTCTGGCTCCATACAGAATTTTTTGTTAAACTTTTATAATAATAAAAAAAAAATAATGTGCAGCCCTCTGAGTGTAGGGCATGTGTGGGCGGCTCCGCCACTATTGGTTTGCTAGGAGTTTCATTTCAGACTTACAGGACATGCTGGGTTTCTGTGAAATGATTAAAACCTGTCGTGAAATGAGACAGTCATATATGTGTCAGCATATAAGCATAGCACGCACAGTTTTTTTCAGAAGATCTGTGTCCTATCTTTAACTTCTCCTGGTTATAACTTCAAGTGACTTTGTCACTATTTGTTTTAACCACACCCCTGTGCAGACAGTGTAGGAGAGTATCTTTAGATATGATTTGTCTAGTTTGTATAACAGCATGCTTCAGACCTGAGTAGGAAAAAATTCCTGAATGGCAGGAGATTTGAGGGATAAAGGTTAACTTGAAATGAGACCAGGAAAGATGATGTGTCATCAGTGATGGGTGTTCATGCCCCCACACACTATCCTTGCCTCTGGTAGTCAGAAGTGTTTTGATTAAGTAGATGTAAAATCCTTACATTGCACTCACAGGGAACAGACATATTCTTCACAACTCTTGAGTTCAGAAGCCTCCTGTGAACCTTGTTTTGCTCTGCTGAAATAAGCTAGAGAGAGCATGTACATTGTATCAAGTCTCCTACTTTAATAGAATGTGGCTATTTACTAGAGGGTTTTTTTTTTGTTGTTGTTTTGTGTGGTGGTGATACTGGGAATTGAACCTATGAGTGCATTACCACTGAGCTATATCTCCAGCTTTTTTTTAGATTTTGAAAAGGTATCTCACCAAGTTCCTTGGGCAGGTCTTTATTTTGTGGTTTTCCTACCTCAACCTCTCTCAGTGGTATTACAGATGTGTCCCACTTGCACCCACCTCCTGGAAGAAAATCATAAATCTCCTGCTTAACACCTCCAATCCCCTTTGCAGAGAGCAAGGTGAAGGTGTGGGCTGTGCACTGAAACTGGTCTGCTTTTGTTGTGGGAAGTGCTTTCAAGTACTGTCCAGTGTTGGCTTGCAAAATAATTGTTAGGTCAGATGCTAAATCTGAATCACCAAGTAGTTGTAAGTGCCTTTGATAGCTTCTTCCTAATGTCCTTTTTGTTTGTTTTATTTTGAGACAAGATCTTACTTTGTAGTTCAGCTGGCCTTGAACTTACTGTGTACCCCAGGTTGGCCTTAAACTCCCTTCTGCTCCAGCCTCCCAAGTGCTGAGATTAAAGGCATATGCCACCACACTCTACTGACAGATTCTTTTTAATATTACCTCCAAAATGGGCTGATTGACAGAACAGTACAAGGTCTCTGTGAAGCCCAGATATACTGCAGCTAATTAAGGAATCACCTATGTGTTTGAACGCCAAATGTGCACTTTCAGTTAGGTTTGTGTTCTACTACTAGCACTAGGATATTTTCTCGGTGTTTATGGAGTGAGAGGAAGGGGTTCTCAATGGGGAGCCAGGGCTTTCTGCAGGAAGTGTCTTGGGACCCATGTCAACACTGAGTAGTGAATGCTTCAGGCAGCTGAAATATCCCAGTGAGGAGTTTTGACAGTCATCTCAAGGTAGCCACAGCTCAGAGGTTTGAGATGATCAGGTAGTGAAGAAGTGAGAGCAAATAGTGATTACCCCCATGTTCTGCTCTTCAGCAACTCTGATCCCACCATTTCTTCACCAGGCAGAGCCCATAGGTCGGGACATACTCCCCCAAAATGATGAGAACCACCGAGGACTATGACAACATAGAGATTTTCAAATGTCTCTCCGAATTATAACCACCTTGAATAAGTCAGTCTTTTAACACTGACTTTTAAACACAGCACCATAAGAATAGCATAGCATTTTGGGTACTGATGGCCAGAAATAAACATTCTAAACACAGATTTAAAGGTCCAGGGAAGTGAAAAGGAAGGAGTTGTGGACAGGGCTACAAAATACATTGGAGAAAGTCTTTTTTCTCTTTGCATCCACAGGGAAGACAAAAGAATGGTTGTTTTGTCATCTTTAATAGATCACATCTAAAACAAAAATCTTCCAACTCTATTTTTAGTGGAATAGTTGTTAAAAATCAAATGTTTTTCTTTTTTTTTTCCTTCCCAGAAATAGGATCAATTTAGGTAGATAGGTTTGAAATTTGAACCCATAACTATTAGAAGAAAACATTTCCAATATATAGAATAGGTAGATAATTTTCCCTTGGATATTCAAAAGGCTTTTTCCCACTGGAAACTGACTGTTAAATGCAGCAGTGTTTCCAGCTTTTCCTTGGCATTATTTGTAGTGCCACTAGATACCTTTTCTCTGGAAGGTACATACAGATAGCACAATCCCAGCACTCAGGAGGCTGAGGCAGGAAAATTGCTGTAAGTTCAGTGCCAGGCTGTGCTACATAGTAATTTCAAGACCACCCTGAACTCCATGGCCAGACCCTGTCTCAAGCCCCTCCCCCTCACCTTTAGATTTTGTATAATGTTTGAATTCCTAAATAATGATTGCCTAAGAGCCTTTAAAATGTTTTTGTGAGGCTTCTTGGTGTCCAGGTCTATAAATACCTCTTTACTTCTTTAAAATTTTGAATCTTTTTTAGAATGTGTATTTGTGGCATTAGTGCGCAAAAATGCTTGCTTTTTCAAGGATTTTTTTTTTTTTTTTTTTTTT